TTTTCACATCTTCTGTGGTCGTATACATCGTTTTGCTCTGCGTTTTAATAGCCTCAGTGTGTGAAGCTGTTATTAGAAGTGATGCCGCATATTGCTGTGGAGCCTCTTCTTTTAGTGCAGGCATCCCTAAGCCTCCTTCCGCAGGGGATAAGGTAAAAAGCCTACTCAGCTCTTCAGGTAGTGGTTCGTTTTGACCAAAAAGTGTTGGAAGAAGCATTTCATTTATTACATTATCAACAGGATCAGTATAGTCCTCAAAAGATTCAATTATTCGCATGAAGTATGTAAACTTGGATTTGTATCCCTTTGTAATGCGATATAGGCCGATTGTGGCTGGCACCTTGCAATCTCTGAGAGGGTTTGTAATTCTTCTTTCCACTTGTAGATTTTCTCGTTGCAAAATTGGTCTTTATAAATCTTTGATCCAATAACAGCTCCAAGGTGACGTTTGCCTTCGCTTGTGACGTTAACCTCTTCTCCAAATACCTGTTTCGCTTCCAAAGCCAAAGCTTCCGACTTCACGATCAACCAGCTTTTGGACCCATTAAAGAAAGAGAGAATTCTTCCTGCTCCCGCAGAATCATCAGCTAACCACACCTGCTTTACATCAGGAATAAAAGTTCTTAAAGTTTGAATTATTGTGGATGTATTTACCGAATACCATGGCATGGCTAATGGGTCGCCTTGTGTGGTGCCCTCCTGRGATAGGATGTCTCCMCCACCACATATAAACAACCTGGAAGGGCTTCTGTAAGTATTAATTACGTACAAGGATATTTCTTTACAGGCAATCCGGATATTATGCATGGCTACTGACCGGTTCATCTGATTGAAGGCGTTACTTGCATCGATCAGTAGTACTGCATCTGTATCCTCTTCACTAAAGATCTGGCTCATTGCATGAATAGCGGCTTCGGCCCCTCCACTGTGTCCAGCACAAACTTGTAGGGGACCTGCTGCTTGTTTTAGTTCTTTAAAGAATGCAGACACTGTTTTACCGATAATTCGCCATAGAACTTCTCCTACTCCTATGGGTCGAATTCCGGGATTCTTATCCAAAGGTATGAGCCTGCATGCGGTGTAGCTCTCTAGCAGGATTGGATGGTATGAGGATTTTAATAGATTTCTGGTCATAATTACTATTTCTTCTCTCAGTAGTTTTCCTTCGGCGTTAAAATTTTTTGAACAGAGTACTCTTCGGTAAAGTTCGGCATCCATTCCTGAAGGTCCGGCAGATCCTCTTGTCCTCATTGCTGCATTGTAGATCATTTGTTCATCGATTAAGTCAAAGATGCCATGAGGATTAAGTTCCAGGGGACCATTCAAGAGGCTTTCATCTTCGATGTCAGCAGCTGAAGGATGTTTCTGTTTGAGCTCCTCTAAGACTTCGGGTGATAAAGTAAGGACACCTGTAGATGTCTCTCTGTCAAGAAGTTTTATAGCGGCTGATAGCTTTCCTTGCATAACTAGATTGGCGAATATTTTGGATATATCTTCCATAGATCTTGCTTTCCTCGTCTTGCTAAACCTGCTCTGTATGAACCTTATTTCTTTCAACAGGAGAGATAGATCCCCCGCTCTCCATAAGGACAGCCTCCGTTCAATAGCCTCACTGTGTTCCTTGCTTTTGGATGTCGCTGAGGGTTTTTGTAGAATCAACGTTGGGAGCACCATAAAGGCTTTCAAGGCAATATAATTTAGATCTGTATTAGAATTGAATTGCTTTAGCCAATACGTCAATTCGGTTATGAAATTCTTGCCTGCTTTACCCGATGGTATATTGAA